TTAAAGGGGGGTTATATTGGGGATTGTATAGGGTACATATATCATACCCTGGAGTTTAGAATATAGCTCACATTAAACCCTAATCCCTATAAACTACCCTATACTCCCGGTATCCATGTCATTTTCCAGTTTCTTTTCCATTTGATTCTCCATTATGCGGAGGACTTTGGCTTTCCATTTCATTTTCCATTTTCGTTCCCATGTGATTCCCCATTATTGGGCGGTAATTTCGACAATTTAGACTATAGAAAAGCCTAAATCCTAAACCACTTTAGTCTAAGTCTAAACTCTTGAAAAGGGGTTTTGTAGGGGACTATAGAGGGGACGAGGGCTTTTTTAAGGGGGATGCTAGGAGTTTGACTATAGCTCGCTTTACGTTTCAGCTTTGAGCTGTCATGGAGTCGAAGATCTTCTTTGATTTGTACGTGAGCGGGCTGTATATCAATACATGCCCCATGCCTGAAAGGGTTCTTTTCTGGTACGATTGAATGGCAAGGATGGTGATGGGGAGCAAAGTGAGCGCTTGTCTGACGCTGATGCGTGTAGTGAAGAATCGCTCAAGAGCGACGACCAGATGGACGAGGCGTCGCTGCCTGTGAAACCGGTGCTGCTGATGCTAAGCCCGCTGCGGCTGCTGTGGCAAGTACTGTCGGTGCTTTTTCTGAGAACTGTGTGATGATGATGATGATGATGATGAGGATGGATTGGGATGATGATGAAGATGAGGATGAGGATGATGGTGACCATGGTGACGATACTGACCACGATGCTTGTGATGTTGTTGTTGTTGATGATGACGACGAGCTACCCATAGCGATGTTGTTGTCGTGTTTGTTCTTGCTGCTTGCGTCGTCGACGTCTATAGCTATGTTTCTTTTTCATGTCGTTGGGGCCGTTGTTGTTTCTTCGTTTGTTGTGCTGGCGGTGGTCTTTACGGGCAAGTAGCTTGGCTCCCGGGTCCACACAATTATGACTGTCTGCGAAGGAGGTGGAGGACATGGACGCCTTCGAAGATCCGGATGACGTTGATCAGGAGGAGGTTGGTGTGAAGGATCCTGGTGTTGACAATTAAAAGGCTAGCCATCTACACCAAAGTCTGGTCACACGAGTTTTCTATAGGCAGGATAAGACGTGCTTCCTGCAAATTACAGATCATCTTTTGCTTCAGTTTACCTACAAAACTGCTAAGGATGAGATACTGCTACTGGCCGGGGTAGATTTGGAAACGGAACCTGGGCCCGAAATCGAACAAGTTGGCTTGGCTGCTGAGACGCCTCCCGGCCCGGCCGTGTTTGCCGCCCCTGTAGACGGCCCCGATGTCCACCATGACGACGCTGCTTCTCCGCTCCAATTCCCCTTCCAAGATACTTATCCTGATCAGAACTTGCCCCCAAAGACTGGGATTGCTGTGCCAATGATGGCTGCAACGCCGTCGTTCATCAGAGCGGTGCCTGAGGAGGCAGAGCTTCTGTACATCGCGCCGGAGAGCCTCTTTGATGACATAGTCAGGGCTGAGGCGGACAGAATTTCTCGTCCGGAGAACGTGCGGAACCGTATTGTGTACGACAGCGTTGGTGACCCAAACCAGATTGAGCCCACAGCCTTCGTGCCTGCCATATCGACTTCTGCGCAGGCAGATTCAGGTTTGGGGTTATATTGTTTTTTTTTGGGATAATGGAAAAGAAAAAAGAAACTACTAAAATGGGGGTATATAGGGTTTAGGGTCTAGGGCTATATTGGGATAATGGAAAATAAAATGGAAACGACTATAATGGGGATATATAGGGTTTAGGGTTTAGGTTGTTGCGCTTGGTTCGAACCCAGGTTTGGAACCCGAATTCTAATCTGGTTGCAAACTTGGGTTACACCTTGGTTTAAACTTGGGTTTGAAGATGGGTTCTACTTGGGTTCGAACATGGGTTAAACCTGGATTTAGACTCTGGGTTTCTGATGCTAGGTGGGTTTAGGGTTTAGGGTTTAAGGGGTTTAGGGGTTTAGGAGTTTAGGGGTTTAGGGGTTTAGGGGTTTAGGGGTTTAGGGTTTAGGGTTTAGGGTTATGTTGTTGAGCTCCGGTTTGCGCATCGATGCAGGTTCCCTTGCTTGCCCATGACCATGGAACCCCCTCAATTGGAGGGTCGGGGGGTCTTTATTACTTGTATCAACCTGCTTGCTGAGTTTCCCTGACCCAAACCCTAAACCCTAAACGCTGAAGCGAAAAAACACAAAGACAATTAAACCCCAAACCCTACACCCTAGAAAACAACCTAAGCACCAAACCCTAAACCCTGAACCCCGAACCCTGAAGGATCCTCGGGGGACGACACCAAGTGGGCCGGCCCTGCTTGTGACGCCATACTACACGCCAACAGGACCTTTCGCATTTAGCTCGCCAGAGCTCTGGAGATGAGCTACGGAATAAAGTTAGGTTTAGGCTTTTTCGGTTTGGGGTTTAGGGTTTAAGTTTAAGGACTAAAATTAGGCTGGGGGGACCTACAGGTGGATAATGGGAACCCCATTAAGGAATATTAAAACTGTAGTCCTCGGGTCATATGCGGACTCTATAGAGCTTAGGAATAATTACCCCTAGCAATAATGCAGAATAAGGAAGGTGGAAAAATACACGGAAACTGGTGTTCATATATGCTTCTCTTGTTATGCACAAGAGTAACAATCCGGCATGAGTAGCTCAAGAGCAAAGAGAACAGGTGGGTCTTTCCAGAAACGGGATCCTTCTATTATGCCCCAAAATTTGTTTTTGCGATCCCCAAGAAGCAACCCTGACTTCTTGGCAATTTCCACATGATCAAGTGGTAGATTCCTTGAACGGGTGGATCCCAACATAGACACCGAAATACGTTATTCCTTATTATAGGGACGCCCAAAAAGGTATCCCTAATCTCTAATCCCTAGAAGCCTATGTATAATCACAGTTTCAAGTTTGTTTTCCATTTGTTCTCCATTTGATTCGCCACTCCTGGGGTAATATTCCCTTCAACCCACATTTAAATCGTGGTTCCCCAAAATAGTGGGACCACGATATAGACCCCAAACTACTTTAATCCTTATTCTGGGGACCCCCAAAATGGTCCACATACAAAAAAGCACATAGGATTTTTTGATAGTTTTCAATTGTTTTGGAGGTCCAAATACCGAACAAACTATAGGATTTCTCCTATTTTCAAGAGTTCTGGGTGTCCAAATACCCAAAAACACATACGAATTTTGATATTTTCAATGGTTTTGGAGGTCCAACAACCAAAAAAACAAATAGGAATTATGATATTTTCAATGGTTTTGGAGGCTTTGGGAACCAACCCCCCCCCCCCCCAACCCTTTACCCTAAATAGTAGTTTCCGTTTTCTTTTCGACCATCTCAATGATCCCTACCCTGAACCCCATATACCTCTATATGGTACCCCTAATTTTGGGAAACCCCCTAAACCCTAAACCCTCTTTGTGCAGGCCCGGAGGACCGAACACTGGTATTTGAGAGCCGGTTTGAAAGCGGCAACCTTCGTCGCGCCGTTCAGGCGTATGAGTTTGAGTGTCTCGGAGTTTCATCAGGGGTGTAGGGGTTATAATATAGTGGTTATATAGGGTTTAGGGTTTAGATAGGGGTTCAATACAATTAGTATGAGTTTGATTTTCTCAGAATAACCCTATATAACCCTCATTTTCTTGTTATCCCTGACCGGCCTTTTTGAGAGCCCCTCACACGGCACTTACAGTGCATCTTAGATATGCTCAAAGATGATTTGGGTGAGGCCCTTACCCAGCAATAGAAGTTTTGTAGGAGTCCTTCTTGCAATAGGGGTAATATTGGTATAATGGAGAAGAAAATGGAAGCTACTATTTAGGGTTTAGGGTTTTAGGGAGAGAGAGAGAGAGAGATATGTATATATATATATATATATGCGGACCCCAACATAATTACCACTATGCCTTGTAGTGGGCGGGGGCTTAGCCCCAGGTATGACCTTATTCTGAATCCTGACTACAACACGAAGTCGCACACGCAATGGTACTTCTTCCGGGTGGGCAATACGCGCAAGGGGCCAGAATACCGCTTCAACATTCTGAATATGGTCAAGCCAACGTCCGTCTACAACGAGGGAATGCGGCCACTTCGGTATTCCTCCATCGATGCAGCCACCAAAGGCATTGGCTGGGCGCGTTGTGGTGACAGGATAGCCTACTACCAGAATGGCCTGCGCAGGCAGAAGGGCGCCAACTATTACACGCTGACTTTTACGGTAACCTTTGAGCACGACTGCGATGAAGTTTACTTCTCGCATTGCTATCCTTATACCTACACTGACCTTCAATTAGATCTGCGGGCACTGGAGAAGGACCCGAACATGGTCCGACGTCTTCGGCGGAGGAAGCTGTGCGACACACTAGCAGGGAACGCCTGTGATCTTATCACGATCACTTCTTTCTGTGGAGATCCGGCCGCCTTGAAGGACGGGAACCCTGAATCCCTAAATCCTAAACCCCAAACCCTACCTCCTAACCCCTAACCCCTAAACCCTAAACCCTAGCCCCTGACCCCTAACGCCTAAACCCTAAACCCCTAAACCCTAAAGCTTAGCTTTCTTGGGAGATTCGGCCTGAAGGCCAGGAGGGCTGTGGTCATCACAGCTCGCGTTCACCCTGGAGAGTCAAATGCTTCCTGGGTCATGAAAGGTGAGAGCTTCCCAAAATTAGGGGTTTAGGGTTTAGGCTTCAGGGTTTGGGGGTTGGGGTTTAGGCGGCCTTTTTGGGGGTACCCATAAGTAATAATGAGGATTGTGGTATATGGGGTCCTTTATTGGAGTCCCAATGGAAACTACCAGGTATCCTGGATTACCTGACCGGGGCATCGGTAGACGCCAGGATCCTGCGAGACAACTTTGTCTTCAAGATTGTTCCGATGCTGAACCCAGATGCTGGCTTGCTGTTGAGGAACTGAAATTAAGTTACATAGTGGGTATGTGTAGTAAATAGTCGGGTTGCCCCAATATGATAACTTAAGATAAGTTCCTTAAATCCCTATATTCCCACAGTTTCCATTTTCTTGTCCAGTTGATTCTCCATTTTATGGGCGTCCCCAATAGAATCACTTCAATTAAGTTCCTTAACAGCAGCCCAGGATGGCGTCATTGTTGGGAACTATCGGTGTTCTTTGGCTGGCCAGGACCTAAACCGCCTCTGGGACGAGCCGAGCCGCAAGATGCACCCCACCATCTTTTTCACAAAAAGCATCTGGGTTGCTGTGAAGGAACTTAAAGTTAAGTTACAATAATGGGTTTAGGGTTTTAGGGTTTTAGGGTTCAGGGTTCAGGGGTTTAGGGTTTAGGGTTATGAGTTTTTATATATATATATATACAGTAAATAATGGGGTTTCTCTAATATATTAACTTAAAGCAAGTTCCTTAACAGCAACTCAGGCATGTTCCGCCACTTGCTAGACGACAGAGATGTCATCTTGTACGTGGATATCCACGGGCACAGCCGCAAGAAAAATGTGTTCATGTATGGGAACAGTGAGAGCAATGGGCTTCGCGAAAAGATTTTCCCTGGGCTTCTTTGCCGAAGCTCAGACTGTTTCAGTTTCGATGACTGCTGCTTCAAAATCCAGAAGAGCCTGTGATATTCCAGGAATAGTTTTTGATTCTGATGGACCCTGCTCCTTTCTATGTTCCCTAAAAAAACATGACAAATCAAATCTCATCAACCTTAAACCCTAAACCCCGAACCCTAAGCCATAAACCTTACGTAGGTACCCTGAGTCTATCCCAGGAGCAAGGAGTCCACTGCTCGGGTTGTCGCATACAAAGAGCTAGGCGTGGTGAATTCCTACACATTGGAGGCACCCGGTAGGAAAATTAGGGTTTAGGAAAGTTTAGGGTTTAGGGTTTTTGCCTCAAACAGGGCTTAGGGTTTTAGCTTTTAAGGTCTAGGGCTACGTTGAAGGGTTAGTTAGTGATAGATTCCTACGTACGCTTTGGAGGCACCAGGTAGGAAATTGTTGAAGTCATAAGGTTTCGGATTAGGGTTTAGGGCTTCGGGAAGGCTATGACCTAGCCTATATCTCCCTGCAGTTACTATGATTGTTAGCTTGAATGTTGTTTTGATTTTTGCTATCTCTCTATATATATATATACACTACGGCTTCGTAATGTACTTACCTGGTAGAGGCATCCTTTTGTTTTAAACCCTAAACCCCCCCATGGTTTCGTAATGTACTTGCGCCTGGTGGAGGCATCCTTCTGTGGTGCAGACTTTGGCCCACTGGGTGAGCAACATTTCACAACCCGACACCTGGAGGAGATGGGTGACTCGGATCCCTGATAGCAACACCTAGGGTTTAGGGTTGAGGGTTATATGTTGATAATAAGAGGGGTTCTACAAAGGTTATTTAGGGGTTATATAGGGATAATGGAAAATAGAATGGAAACTACAATGTTAGGATTTAGGCTTCGGGGTTTTAAAGGTAAGCTATACATCCGAGGCTACATGGTTTGCGATGCGATTCTGGACTTCTGCGACCCAGACCAGGGAAAGGTAATGCTTGTGTGCAAGGAGCTTCAAGGTCTCTTTCCAGATGATGGCAACTCGGACGACGTCTCTGATTCTGAGGATGATGGTGCAGCTGCCCTGCGACGCAAGAAGCGGGCAGCCCGGAAGGCGGTGAAGCAAAGAGAGAAGCCACAGAAAAAGAAGAAGCCGGCCAGGAGCGATGGGCGTGCCAAAATGGATTCGGAGGATGTCAACATGGAAGAGGACAGGCGGAGAGAGAACAAAGACAAGTCAGCACGCAACGCAATGAACGCAATGAGAAAGGCATCTCGCCGAGACCCGGGCGAGGATTCCAACGCTGCTGGCTCCAATGCACCAGAGATGTCAGATGCTGAAGATGCCAAAGGCAAGCGAAAGAAGCCAAAGAAGAAAGCTGCCAAAAGCAGAGCGGTCATGTCTTCACGGGACAAAGATTCCAAGGAAGCCAAAACCCCGAAAGATCGGTCAAGAGCAGAACCTGCGCTGGAAGATGACCCTCCAGAACTTGCAGGTGGGAAGCCTGAAATTGGGTTGTGATGTTTGTGCTCGAACATTTTCGGCATGATATTGAACGTAGGGATACCAAAGGTTGCCTCTAGATTTGTGAGCAACCCAGGTAAGGGTTTTAAAAAGCTGCTGCTGGGCTTCTACTGACACACGGAGGGAGAGGATGTCTCCCTTGTACTGGGTTCCTGTTACCCAATTTAATAAGTTGCTATATTGGGGAAACCCTATTATCTACTCGAGATATATACACCCATTATGGTAACTGAATTTAAGTTCCTTCACAATAACCCAGTATCTATAAGGCTGCAATATGACACACTCCATGAAGAACCCCATGAACAGAATGCCACGTCAGCTGTCCTTAACCTTATCTCTAAACCCGAACCCTCATTTCTCGTATCCCCATATAGCCTTCTGTGCCTTTCATATAACCTCCTAAACCCGTTTAAAGGTACCTGCTTGGGAAAGCCCCGAACACTAGCCCCTAAACCCCTGAACCCTAAACCCTACACCCCGAAACGCTAAACCTTAAACCCTAAACTCTAAACCCTAAACCTTCTCAATTCTTTGAATGCCTCTTCAACTCCCAAGGTGATGCTGGCAGTTCCTCAGTACGGCAGGTGGGGAGCCGCGGCTCCCGACAGGAATTGGGACTTTCCGAAAATTAGGGGTACCTTGAAACTGAGTTGTAGGGGGTTAGGCTATAGGGAGATATGATCTTTGAGATTTAGGGTTTAGGGTGGATCTCCGTTTTAGGGTCTGGGATTCAGGGTGTAGGGTGGGTCGCAAAGGACGTCCCACCGCCGTGGGCATGGCTGTAGGATCGCCCAAAGTTAGGAAATCCCGACCCGGACGTGGCCAAAAGCGGGCCTTGAGCGAAGAGTTGTCATTAGACCGCCAGGAAGGCCCAGTCCCCTTCCCCTACAATTACAACGAGGCCCCCTACTGTACATTGTAGATTAGTCTTTAGTCCGGAATCGGAATGCTGGGAACATGGTTCTTGTCTATATCCTCATTGGGCGGGGACCTGGTCTTGAAGCTTAGGCCGAGGTGGTAAATCTGGTAAATGCTGCATGGAATTGAGGAAGGCCCAGACGGACGGCTAACATGGCTGTCAGAGACTGGCCCATTCCATCATGCCAGACGTTGCAGTGCCGACCAGAGAAAATGTCTCATACCGCTCAAAGACGTTTTGGAGTGCTCCCTGTCTGGACTACCAGTAACTCTGTTACTGTTAGGGCAGCAACGTACCAGCCATGCAGTCTTGGGCAGTCTTGGGCGTGCTGACATCTTTCTGAGCTGCGTTTGCTTGTGGAAACGCCCGTTCTTTCGGAGGCCCGCCAAAAGTCCAGCGGATTGAAATCTCTCCACTGGAGGTGCCACAGTTCGGGAGCAAATGCATCAAGGATTCTTACGTTTCGGACGTTGGTATTCCCAAAATCCCTTTCCATACCTCAGAATGATAGACGCCCAAAAGATGGATCTCCAATTTTCGGGAACCCCAACCCTAAACCCTAAACCTTACACCCTGACCCAGTAACAGTCTATATTAGGCATCCTATTAAGGGCTATATATAACCATATTATATTTATTATCCAACTGTTACTGAATGGGGGCAGTATCCAACCTAAACCTTACACCCTAAGCCATTGCAGGTGCATTTCTCTCAGCATGTCATCTATCCTCTGTTCTCGGACGGCCACTCCGTCGATGATGCAGTGAGGCCGAGTAGAACATCACACGAGCTACTGTCACTAGTGGCTTTATTGTTGGGTTTAGGGTTCAGGGTTAAGGGTTTGGGGTTTAGGGTGAGCTATTGTCAACTTTAGCCTGATTAAGGGGCCGTCAACAGTTGACAAAGGGGTTACTCTTGATATAGCATAGTCCGTAAACTAGTGCCTAATAATCCATGTCCATTAAGCGATATAGGAATTTTGACTGTAGCTCACCCAAACCCTACAGCCTAAATAACGAGTTGCAGAGCCTGCCCTACATCCAGAATTCAGTCCACACCTGGAAAGCCGCAATCGCAGCCCACAAGTATGATCTAAGTGTTAGTTTCCATTTTCTTGTCCATTATCCCTGTGTATAACCCTATATACCCCAACATACCTCAATGTACCTCAATATGCCCGTAAGTATAGTCTACTACCCCCTAATTTCGCACTACTTCGGGCTGAAGTGGCTGGGTTTCCAGGTAGACCAATAAGATCAGTGCATCGCTGACTGCAGGGAAATAGATGCAGTAGAGGCTGAAGAAGATGATGGAGAGGAGGCATGGCTTCTCCTTACCTCTCGCCAGCAGGGAATGAAGGGATGGAGCAAAAATGAAAACTACTATATTGTTGGTTGATATATGGGAGCTACTGTAAAGATCCATTCATTTAATCCCAGCTAAGAGAGGTAAGCGGTAGTTTCCCTAAACAGGGGGACCCCAATATGGACCCCAACATTTCATCATCCTTATTGGGACCCCGCAAAAATGTACCCCGCAACTTTGGGAAACCTCCAAGTCTTTTGGAGCGGTGTAGCTCTTCAGGAAAGCGTGCTTGTTCCAGGCTGTGCTTTGGTTGGAGCCACCCTTTCCTCAGATTCAGGCAAGGAACCGGGAAGCTTCTAATAAGATTGATACTAAAGATCGTGCATGACCTTAAGTGTTTAGGGTTTAGGGTTTAGGCTCTAGGTTTAGCTTTTAGGGTTTATGGTTCAGGGTTAAGGCCTTCTCCTTGCAGAATATCGGTATCCTAGTATGCTAGGGTCATGCATGATTCTGAGTATCAACACAAGTACTTGTGTTGGCACCTTGTTTCTTACGAGTGTGGCCAAGATTTCTACCAAGCATAGGCTGTCCGTTGGTGTCCAAAACTCAGGGCCATTGTCTCAGACTTCCAACATAGTACTAACATGATAAGATAACAGCAGAGTACTGAAGTAGTATAGTAACATAGTCATTTAGCAATATTGTAATACAATAGAATACAGTATTATTGCAGCATAGCAATACAGTAATCTAGTACTACGGTAATAAAAGTAGTAATATAGCAGTAGTATAGTATTACTGTAATAGCAATATAGTACTGCTGTAAGATACCACTATAACGATACATCATGTTCCCCATTTGCGAGGATGGCGAGGGGAAGCCAGTGCTTGATGAGAAGGGAGAAGAGCGCCGAGGCGTTGAGGCCGGTTGAGGGCTTAGGGTTTGGGGTTTATGGGTTAGGTGGACCCCCCACCCAGTAATAATGACAATAATTGATAATAAGGATTCTATTAGGGTCCTCTTATATTCCTATTATACCACCATTACAGGGTGGTGGGGTCCTCCTAATTTATGGGTTAGGAAGGCTAAGCATGGTATCTCTCGACGCAGCTAGCGTCGCCGGCCGAGCCAACGCCCTCGTGCCCAACGAACGCGCTAAAATCACATTTCTTTTTAGTGTAGAGTCCGACAACGGGCCTGTCGCAGGCGGGGCCTCGTTCGTCGCCTCGGGGGCTGGAGGGTTTTTTGGGCGCCTCTTGGGGGCGTCTCGCAGGCCTGCCTGTTGGGGGCCTCTTCCAGGGCTTCTGCAACCTTTTTCGAGTGTCTCACCTTTCTCGTGTTTTGTCGGGCTTTCTCACAGCGGCCTCTCAGGCAGCCTTGGCCTCTTAGGGCCTCGGGCTCCAGGGGCCTTCCGGGGGCCGTTTTGGTTCGCCAGGTGATGGTGTGAATAGCTGCCGCATATAGTTCTGGGTCCAGGCACCCTGGAAAAGGGTGGGTACGCCTGAGCAGGCCTGAGTCTCATTGAGGGTTTTTAACATGGGCAATTTCTGAAGACATCGCCCTGTTTATATTGATCCTGGCTTAGGGTTTAGTGTTTCCTTTAGAATCAACCTTTCTTGTAGTCCCCGTGCCCTCGATAATGCATTCTTCAGAACATGATATAAAATGCCCTGGCATTCCCGCATGATCCACATAGGGATTTGATAAAGAGAACCAGGGGCCCCCCAAATAGACCTCAATATACTAGAGTCGTTACCATGGGGATCCCATGTCACCTCTGAACCCGAAATCTTCAACCCTAAACCCTAAACCCTGAAGCCTAACCTCAAAACCATTCTTTGAGGGCTGAAGCGTCTGCACCCTATGGACTGTAGGAATTAGAGATTCTATAGGGATTGTACAGGGGTGATACTTGTTTTCAGGCGTTTTTATCGAGATGAGAAAGGGGATGTATAGGGGCTATACTTATAGGGGTTGCGTGTCATATAGGATTGGCGTCAAGTAGGATTTAGGGTTTGGGGAACGATGGAGAATCAAATGGAGAACAACATGGAAATTGAAATGGTAATTCGAATTAGAGAGAGTTATAATGGTAGGTTGTCAAAATTATGGTCCCGTTTGTAGGTTCCCGAAATATTAGGCTCCGTAGTACACCCTAAGCCTGAATCATTCTTTAAACTTTAACGCCCCAATCCTAAACCCTATATATCCTGTATTCTAGCCAGAATCTAAAGTCCTTGACGGGGATTATATACGGTATGGTCTAGGGGACTAATAGAGGAATTAGGGAGACAAAAAGGGGCATACTAAGAATTTCGACTATAGCTCATATATAAAACCCTATATAAGCCTCATGTAAACCTTATATGGAACCCTTACATACAACCCTATATTACCTCATATTCCTATACCCCTGATTCGTTTCCTGTCCCCTGTACCTTTGCAGCCCTTTGTTCCATTTTCCAGGTCATTCCCTCGTCATTCGGCTTATGATTCTGCTTTAAGGACACCTCACCCCGAAAACTCTAAGCCCGAAAGCGCAAACTCAACCCGAGAGATCCTTCCCATGATTCACCCTTTGCGTTTAGATGCCAACACGTGTCGATCAGGTAGCTACGTACATATCTATCTATCTATATATATATATGTGTATATATACCTATACAACCACCCCCTGATTCTGGAAATTCTAACCCTCAACTCAGGACCCTATCACAGTCATGTGATAACTACAGGGTTCTA